TGCGATCGTTACGCTGCCCCAGCCGATATCTTCCCGGCATCATGTTTGGCTGGGGCAGCGTAACGATCGCAATGGCTTTCGCGCGTACCTACGAACATATGATCGGACTCATAATCCTCATGGGTTTCCTCGAGTCCGGCTTTGCCCCCGGCGTGCTTCTGCTCCTCTCCTCCTGGTATAAGAGTGAAGAGCAGAGTAAGAGATTTGCCGCGTACATCTCCGCTGCTATCCTCTCCGGTGCATTTGGTGGCCTCTTGGCTGGTTCTATCACTAGCGGTCTTGACGGCGCACACGGCAAGGCTGGTTGGAGATGGCTGTTTGTCGTCGAGGGTGCTGCCACTATGGGAGTTGCTGTCATTGCGTACTTTATCCTCCCTGACTTTCCAGCAAACACGTCGAGGCTCAAGTTCAGCCAGGAAGAGATTGATCTTGCCATTCGGAGACTGCAGCACGACAGGCCACAGGTTCATACTGAAGATGAGGAGAAACTAGGTCATTGGCAGGCCTTTAAACTCAGCATGACTAACTGGCGCACTTGGCTCTTTGTTGTTGGTTACATGGTAAGTCATCGACCACTTTGCTTCCGAGTATTTGACAGACTGTGAACTTCCTTAGGCAATCGTCGGATCTTCAACCCTCTCCTACTTCTATCTCTCCTACTTCTACCTCACTCTCGTCAAAGGCCTCGGATACGAATTCACGGCAGCTCAGTATATGACCATACCCATCTTTGGCGTTGCATTTGTAGTCACCGCCCTCACAGGCTCCTTCGCCGATAAGAACAGCAAATGGCGAGGCGTCATACTGTGTGCCTGGATGAGTGTTGCCATGCTATGCGCCGTCATCATATGCGTCGTCTACAACTTCAAAGCTCGCTACGCTCTCCTCGTCATCGACGCCAAAGAAGCTCTTAGCAAACGACAAATAAAGGGCAGCGGGAAAATGAGGCTCTGTGAGGGACGAAACGAGTAGGACGAGACATAAAGGTTTAACATAAATGCGCTTCGGTCACTTGTCTCTAAGACTGAGACAAGCTGTAAACAAGATGTTAAGAAACTACTAAGGCTGCTAGGAATATAAAAGTGCCCAAGTTAGCAAATCTGTATTTACTAACAAAGTATCTACCCTGAAGCACACAAAATTCGGTCCTGTATCGGAGTGGGGTGACTCATCTTTTCGGGATCATTTTATTCCGGTAGGTTTCGACCCTGAAGCTTCATAACCCCTCACAATAATGATGGTTCGTGACTCCACAATCACGAAGAGCTTATCACAAACATCAAAAACACCGACATGTCGCCTGTCGTCATTCATCTCCGGACCGAGACAAAGCCTCTAGAGCGTCGCTCTCCATGTAACGACCCCCTTTGTGTCTCATAAAACCCTCATCTAACAATTCAGTGTCACCTGCGACTGCTAAGGCTTTGCTCGACGCTGGCTACACAGTTCGGGTTGAGGAATCCCCGGACCGCATTTACAAGATTGACGAGTTCAGAGATGTTGGGGCTGACATCGTACCCGCCGGCTCGTGGGTCAATGCACCCAAGGAGGATATTATCCTGGGATTGAAGGAGATTGAGGCGAATGGTAGTATGTTTGCTCATGACTTATCTTTTAGCTTCGCTTACTGACCACGTCCAGCACCGTTACCTCACACCTACATTCACTTTGCTCATGTATTCAAGAAGCAAAGCGGCTGGGCTACTGAGCTGTCCCGCTTCGCAAACGCGGATGGCTTACTGTATGACTTGGAATTTCTTACGGACGAAGATGGACGCCGAGTAGCTGCATTCGGATATTGGGCGGGATATGCCGGAACCGCTCTGGCACTACTGTCTTGGGCTCACCAGCTGCTCAACCCTGGCGTACCCCAAGGACCGGTTCCCGTCGTCGACTCTGCCTCTGCTTTGACTGAACTTGTCAAGGGTAAGGTCGACGCTGCACGTTCCGCCAACCACGGCGCGCTCCCTCGGCTGATCGTAATCGGTGCCCTGGGCCGCTGCGGCAAAGGTGCCATCGCAGCAGCTGAGGCCATCGGTGTTAGTGACATTCTGAAATGGGACATCGCCGAGACGAGCAAGGGAGGTCCATTTACTGAAGTCGCTTCGTCTGATATCTTTGTGAACTGCGTCTACCTGGGCTCCCACAAAATCCCCCCGTTCACGACTTTTGAAGCTCTCTCGGCACCCGACAGACGACTCCGGGTCATTTGCGACGTCAGTTGCGACCCCAACAGCGAGAATAACCCTATTCCCGTCTACTCCAGCTACAGTTCGTTTGAGAACCCCACTGTTCCTGCTTCCGAGCACATCGATGGCCCTGAGCTGCGAATCATCGCCATCGATCATCTTCCTACCATGGTCGCACGCGAGTCGAGTGACGAATATTCCTCACTACTTCTGCCAAGTTTGTTGACTCTGGACCGCCGGGATACCGAAGGGGTTTGGCAGCGAGCGGAACGGATCTTTCGCGATAGGGTTGCAGAACTGCCTTAAGTCTTTGTTTACTCTTATATTTGAGAAGCGAGATTAAAACTTCAGACTTGTAGTTAGTGACTCCAAAAGCACCAATTCTACTTGTTAATGACATGATTGTGCAGTGATATCACACCCAGCCAAAATGTTCGACCAAGGATTCGGCCCATTAAGAAGCGTCTGTGCGATTGTAAGGGGGAAAGGTGTGACACGGGACAACTGAACTTGCGGTCAATTACTATCGGTTGATGTACAAAGAGCTGTATCCTGTAGCAATCGACTTTGTAGCCAACAGAGCCACCGTCAAAATTAGAGTGAAATCAATTGCAAACTGATGTTAACGGTCACTGTAGGCTACTTTATTCTATAAATGCTGATGGGAGCCTGGGAGGGCGATCCAGCGGGTTTGGGATAATACAATAAACATAATCAGATGGAAGATTTAAGACTCCTTAAATTCGAAAACAGTTAGAAACCGACTGGAGGTTAGGAAAACCTTTGATTTCTGGCACGTCAATATCTTTATTAAATGACTTTCAATAGGTACAAATGCCTAGAGATACGGAGCACTGTGGCTGCAGATGAGGTGGGCCAGGTTGGAACACTTCAGGCTCTTCCCTCTATCTCAGACAAGTATCTTTACCCCAGGTACCCTGACTGTTGAGGTGGTCACTTCCGTAATCCAGGCCCTTTTAGAAAACAAGGCAAATGTGCTCGTTCAATTGGTAGGGTCAGGACTTTACACTGGCTGTCGCCTGAGAGGTCCAGTCCTTCAGCATGACTTGAGAAGAAAAGCCACATCATGGCTTGCTCATGTTTTGGTGTATTGTTATCCTTCAATGTTAACTTGCAGATGTGCAGGGATTCTTTTCCTTGCTTTGTGACAACGGTGGTATATGCAAAGCCCGTCGGTCACGTATGATACTGTTTTAGCCAGATCGTTATAATTTACCCAAGACATCCACTTCGAAAGAAACAACCTATTCTGGTTTCGTCACGCTTGCGACCTCGAGCGGCAGAATAACAAGATCAGCTGCACTTACTCCCTTGGCCTTCGAGTCACTTGTGATTGTGTTCATGATGCCGCTTACACTTCTAATCGCTTTCAAAGAAATATGCATTGAGTTTGTTGCATTCAGAAACAAATATCGGAATAGAGAAATGATGTGTCAAGTTCAAAGGTCAGTTTTGGACACCGCTTACATCAATATTGGTATGGATGCAACCATGCACTGCTCTCTTTGAGCACAAATAAGGGTCTTGTGATAGGCTTACTCCGCTGTAGTAAGCCAGCAAGCAGCATATCACAAGATTCCCTGTTACTCATTGGCAGTATGCTTTCAACTTTATCCTACTATTGAAAGTGGCTGCGGCGCCACATTGCTGAGGAGGTATGACTACATATCATCACATCACATGCTTTTAGCTGGCACTGACGTGTATAAGTAATGGCCAGCTTCCGTGAGTTTGGTCTTCTCTTTACAGACCCATCAACACTCACTCCTAAATAGTGCTCTTTCATCACATCAATTGCCAACATTCTGGCCAATAATCCCAAAGCAACAATAGCCATTACTGACAAGACACCCCTCTATGGCAACAAGTTTGCCGAACTGATCGTCCAAGACGTCTCGGATCCTCTTCCTGCCGAAAACGCAGTCAATGCTAAACTAACCAGCATCGACGGTACCGGCACTGCCGCTCTCGTTAGCAAACTTTATGTCCCTGAGGACCCCAAGAGATATGGTGGCTTCGGTCTCATCTTCAAAGACGATTCTAAACACGACGAGTTTGAATGGGTGCAGTTCGTCACCCGACAGTTGGTCATCAATGGCACCGCCCAAACTGGGAGCTTGTCCAACAAAACTAATAAGCCTGCCTATCAGCTGGTGAACTCCACAGAGAATATCACCAACTTTGCAACTGGCTCGGGAGTGCCGAACTGGAATACTTGCTGGGGCGCTGATTCTAAGCTTAGCGATGTTTTCTTCGCCAGCACTCATGAGTATGTCAAGGATGATGCTCTCAAAGTGAAGGGCATTATGGACACCCCAAGCGTCTTGGTCGGCAAGATTCCAAACTCGATCGATAGGGACTATTATCTAGATGCTCCGAATGGCTTGGTCGACATGAAAGCATTGGCCACTGGCCCAGGTACTTCGCGCGCTTACTTCTCGGACTATCTTGTGAAGAAGCTTGATGACGGTGGACATCGTATCTACGCGCGCTTTGACCACAGTTTGACCTGGAGCGCTGGCGAGGGGGATAAGAATAATTATGAGATCAGGTCTTTGAGCACTACTGCCACCAACGCCTTTCTGGGCTGTCACAGAGCTGCTCTTCAGCACTCGACTAGGCCACTCAAGGAAGGCAGTAAGTCGACGCAACCTTATCTGAAGTTTCTCAACTCTATTGTTCCTTGAGGAGAGTCTAGGACAACTCTCGATGTTTACAGGAGGGCATGGTCTTGGAATCGGATAGGATATAACACTGTTGATGGATCTAGCATACAGTAATAACATTGAACTTGCTTATACCCTCAAGGCTTAGATGGGTGAGATACCTCTCACTCAGCCTTGACCTTCTGCAATACTCGGGGATGATGCTCAAGTTCCAAAGAAAGTTTGGTACCGAAAGGAGTGCAAGAAGTATTAAATCAAAATTGGCTGATATGGAACGGAAGAAAAGAAATGGTAATAGCGGCTTTGAGTAAAAGAATAAATGTAACGTTAGAATTTCTTTATCTGTTGAGCAGTTTTTAGTAAGTAGTTCCTAAATCCTAAATATGTTTATAAAAGTTTAAGAAGTCAGAAAGCAAATTCATAAGTATCTTAACAAGTATTTACAGTATTTACTTGCTAACTAATATTAAAGACAATAATGCACTAAAAAAAAAGGCTAGAACTTATCCAGAACATCCATTTTGGATGCTGTAGGTTAGTCATGGTTGCCGGCCCTCTGTCTGGTCATATAGAGGATATACGCTGGACCACTTGCTTACAACTTATCAACATCCCCATCAGACATCCAATGCAAACCTCCTGCACACCTAAACCCCCCGGCACTCTCCTTGATCCACTGAAATCCAGCCGGACACACTCCCATCTTCATCAACTTTGCCTTTCTCGCCTCAATCTTCTTCCGTTTCTCCTCCTCAGCCAGTATCTTACGTACCAGCTTCTCTCTGTCAGCGTCACTTGCATTCTGCTGGGCCTTTTTGAGCCGACGAAATTCTTCTTCATCTTTGGCCTCTTGCTCTTTGTCCCTTTGGAGCTGCTCCCAGACTTCATCGCTTACTCCGGCGTCTCGGATGCCTTGCGGAACAGTGATGTCTAGGAGCTCTTCTTCTGGTTCTTCCTCCTCTTGTTCCTCAGTAACTGTGGTGACGTTGGTTGTCGTTGTAGGTGGTGTGAATAAAGGCATGTCATTGAGTGCTTTGGCGATCTCACTTGCAGCAGTAGGTTTCTTGTCCGTCATTCGGCCTCGACGCTCCGCCATCATGTCGTCTATAGTGCCGCGTACGAGCTCCTCGGTAAGTCTCAGACTTTTAGAAGATAGATCAAACTTGTGAAACATCTTCTTGGCAAGTTCTTTGACATCTCTCGCATTCGCCCAACTATCCTGCTTCGACAGTTCCTCGAACTTGTTGGTCAGCTCCATCAAGAATCCCCTCTCAGGACGCTCCAAACCCGACAGGTCCACTGGTATCTTTCCCTTGAGTTTGGCTTTGCTATCTTGCAATTGACTGGTCATCAACTGAATACAGCTAGCAGGAGTGAGGGGGTCAAAGTCAATGCTTTCTGGGAAACGACTAGACATTCCTGGGTTGATGCCCAGCAGAGTGTTGATGTCCTGTACGTAGCCAGCAAGGATGATGATAAGCTTGCCGTGATATTTTGGCTTCGTGACGCAATCCACAAGCTCATCGACAGCCTCTCTGGTAAACGAGCTCTCGGAAGCAAGTCGATAAGCTTCGTCAATAAAAAGAACCCGCCCCAAAGCTTTATCCAGGAGCTGCTGTACCTTTGGCCCAGTATGTCCAACATATTGGCCGATGAGCTCAGTAGCAGAAACCTCAATGACTTCCGTACTAGCCAAGAAGCCCAGATCATAGTATACCTGGCCCATCTTGCGCGCAGCTGTTGTCTTTCCTGTTCCAGGTGGACCTCTGAAAAGGAAGTTGAAGGGGATTTCCGGGTCAATCTCCAGTTGTTTGGCCTGACGCACGCGGGTCTGGTAACCTTGAAGGATTGATATCAGACGGTCACGCCCAACGTCGCCCTCGAACAATTTCTTGACGTCGGTATCACCCTTTTCGGCACGGTCAAAGTCTTGGTCAAAGTCGATGGGCTCCAAGGTTCCGTGTCTCTTGACTTGGCCAGATGATACACGTTTTTGATGATTCGCCTTGGCTCTTCCAAGTAAGATGTCGATTTCGCCCGCATTTCCAAAGTTTGGGCGGTTTCTTGCACGACGCAGGACGTCCAGTGCGACAACCTTGGCCTTGGTTGTTGCTTTGAAGCCTGACTTGCCCAGCTTCAGGTCCAGAATCTTTGCCAAAGCAACATCATCAAAGTCTTCAAAGACAAAGGCAGACGAGATGGGAAAGCGTCGACTGAGACCAGGGTTCACGTTCTGGAACATCTCCTCCATCTGCTCCTTGTATCCAAGCAGGAGGACGCATCGATCTTCGCCTGGTACGCTTTGAACCTCTGCGACGATGGTGTCGATAACAGCCGTCTTGTAGGGATCAATGACAGAGCCGTTTACGCCTCCTCCTCCATAAAGTCCGTATGCTTCGTCGATCAAAAGAACCTTTCCGACAGTGGCGGCGAGGATACCCTTGGTCTGAGCCTCTGACTGGCCAAGAGCAGCTCCAACAAAATCAGCTGGGTTCTTGGTAACGACCTCCCCGTTAGAAAGCAAGCCCAAATCTTTGAGGATCTCTCCGTAGAGCTTTGCGACAGTCGTTTTTCCAGTGCCGGGTGACCCCAAGAAAACCTTGTTCAGCGAGAACTCTACTAGAGGCTGCTCTGCAAGCTCGCGCTCATAGTTTGTTCTCAATGTGTCCATGAGCACACCGAGTGCATCTTTGACTTCCTGCAAGCCGATCAGGGACTTGAGCTCTCTGTAAGCCTTGCTGCTCAGCAAAGCCTCGGAAGGTTCTGGTCCAATGATGTCTTCTCGGGTGAGGAGCAAATCATTTGGCTTCTTGCTGGCTCGACGTTCCCTCCTGAGACGTGCTGCTTGTCGTTGACTGATCTTCTGGAGACAGTTTTCCACAGCGCGTGCATTTCCGAAACCATTCTTCCCGCGACCGTGGCCAACCCGACGTACAGCAATCCGGCAGAACAGCCCGTCAGTCCCTTGCTCAGCAGCCATCCTACCCTGAAACTTGCGATGAATCTGGAGCTGAAGGATTTGGAGGAGTTCTCTGTCCGTGTAGTCCTCGAACTTCATCTCGATGGGAAATCGACTGGGAATGCCGGGATTGTGGGAGAAGAAGGACTCCATCTCCTTACTATACCCTGCCAAGACAAACACGACCTTTCCTCTTAGGTTCTCGACCTCTGCCAGAAGATAATCCAGCACAGCCTTGCCGCCGGGACTGTTGCCAGATGACAACTGGTATGCTTCGTCGATGAAGACGCAGCCGCCGCCATTGTTGTTGACATCCTCGATAAGCTTCTCACAGCCGGTGACACCCATGTTGGCGAGTTTAGATCCAGTGACTTCTTTGAAGCAGCTTCCTGCAATAGCACCGACCGTCGTGAGGAACTCTGCATATATTCTGGCCACTGTTGTCTTGCCTGGAGTGAAGTTAGTCAATGTAATACTGCGCTTCATAGTGTACTAGCCTGTTCCTGGGTTGCCAAGGAGTGAACAACTCCATCTCTCATCCCCAAGAGAGAACCCTTGACGTATCTTGGTATCGACTGTGGACTTGATCGAGAGTATCTGGTCTTTGACAGACTCGAGACCGATCATTCCCATCAGCTTATCCAAAGCGGCGTTGCGTGCACCTTCTACCTCTTTCATGTTCTTCCACTCATTGGCTGCACCGGATATAGGACCAAACTGAGGAGCAGTCTGAGGCGGCGGGCTATTTTTCTGGGTCGCCTTGATCTTCTTCTTGTTGCTTTCCGCTTGTCGAAGAGATTCGAGTTCTTCCTTCTTCTGTTTGAGCTCGTCTGCTTGCTTCTTCTCCTCAGACTCGTACTTCATAGTTCGACGGCGATGATCAATCTCATCCTCGATCTCTTGTAGCTCCAGGCGATACTTGTCCTGTGCTTCTTGGCGCGTTCGTTCGAGTTCGAGGTCGCGTTTGATACGTCGCTGGTTGTCTTCGTATTCTGTCGTGCAAGTCGCGCAGGTCTTGGACTTGTCTCCACATGGGACCTTGGTCTTATGGCCTTTATCGCAGGTTCTCTCGACTTTGGCAAAGCATGGGATCATGGAGTGGTTTTGGACCCGATGGCAGCGTCGCTGGCATTTATGTTTGCCGCAGCTCAATGGGGCATTACTAGAGAGGTTAGAAAATGTATAACAAGGCGATAACAAAGGAAGAAAACAATGAGCAAACTGCGAGTGTAGACTTACCAGGGCTCAGCACATCCTCCATCAGGACACTTCTTATCAAAGTCTTCCGGCAGCTTCAATAACATGGACGTCTCAGGGTGGCGCTCGCAGTGAATAGGAACTCCATCGAAAATGGAGTCATTCTGCTTCAGCGCGTCAAAATACTGCGTCCACATTTTACCGCCCTTCTTGCTCTTCATGAATGTCTCCATGTTGCCAAAGAGGATCATGCCGTTTCGGGCGCGTGATAGAAGGACAACGAGTCGTTCACGAGCGTACAGGAAGCCGATATCTCCCGATGCGTTGCTGCGTGTTAGTGAGACTATGACGATGTCGCATTCTTCTCCTTGGTAGTTATCTGTGTTGTCAGCATTGAACTCACGAAGTGTCGGTTGACTTACCAATTGTCGAGAGGCGTAGAGGCTTCTTGTTCACTTTGGCAGCCGCCTGCGTGACCAGTCCCGCACGCACCAGGTCATGGTTGTCGACATCATTCAGCCAAGGATCCATCTCCTTCCGAAGAGTCTCCTTCAAAAGGAACAATTGGCCCAGATACGGCGTTAGAACAACCATGTTCTCGGTCTTGTATCCGTTCTGCGATAAATAGCGAACCATTCGGAGAACCATCATAGCCTCGTGGAGGTTTCTTTTGCTGGCTTTGGCCGTAGGGTCCCGGCGCTCAGCGACATCGTCCATGGTATCCTCTGGTCGTTCGTGATGCACAAATGTAACGCGACTCTTCAATCCTCGGATTGGCTGACGATCGGAAGTCGTTGGCATGTCTTTTAGTTCAGGATAGGCTAGCATGCGAGGGTATTGTGAGATGTCTGGATGACTGCGATGCTGCTCTTCAAGGGCTGTGAAATGGCGACCCTGAATAACAAGCCTTTCAAAGAGCGACACATTCAGATCGTAGCCCTCGCCTTTTTCCTTTGTCAACAAGTAATTGCCGACCTTTGGTCTGAGTTGTTTGTGGTCTCCGATGAGTATGAGTTGCTTGACAGAGGCGCTCATAGCTGTAATAATATGAGCTTCGAGGATCTCTCCCGCTTCTTCAACCAGAATGACGTCGGGGTTGGCGGTTTCAATGATTGACTGATACATTGCTGCAGCGGTTGTTGTGCAAGCAATGATCTGTTTATCCTTGAGGACTCTTCGTCCGCGCTCGTCAAGGATACTCTTAATCTCAGTCCTCACATCACTGAATCGCTTGCTCAGTTCAACGAACCGGGCGCTCTGCTCCTCACGAACCATTTGAGACCACTCATAATGGCATTGCCTTCTCACAGCCAGTGGCGCATTCCAGACAGCGCGGGCTCTCGGGTCCAGAGCCATGCTGAGGTGTCCGAGACGATTGACATCACCGCCGTTCAGCCATTGCTGGTAAACGCCCTCCGGGTCAATCTCTTTACCGTCCGAGCCAACCATCTTGAAACCATCATCTTCAGGTACCTGAAACGCTTCCCATGCGATGCTGAAGTTCTCGGAAAGCTCAAGGTGTTCCAGGATATCAGCCGGATCAGCCTCTCGTGCAGCGAGCTTTCTGCTGCATTCTTGAAGCTCCGAGCTGAGACTCGTTTCTTCAACGCGAAGGGTATTGAGGATATTCTTCTCCTCCATCTTCAACCAATACTTCTTTTGGCCGTCGTATTCTCTCAGAAGAGTGGGTTTGGTGGCTTCAGTAGACTTGGAACCCAGACGAACCATCTGGTCTGAGCTGATGCCGATGTCCATCAGATCCTCCATAAACTGATCCAGGGCATGATTAGTATAGCTCAGCACAAGAATACGCGATTTTGTCAATCGCAGAATGGTCAACAGAATGAGCGCGCCCAGAAACGACTTTCCCGTGCCAGGCGGACCTTGAATTAGAGCCAAGTTGCTGCTGATGCCGTGAATAAAGGACTTGAGCTGAGCACCCTGCAGTTTTATCTCTTTTTTTAGTCTTAAACCAGAAGGCATTTGATAACTGCGCTCTGAAGCCAAAGCCTCCTTGAGCTTGTGAAGCAAGGCGTTCAATGTCGTCGATCTCGGCCCGTCCCCAGAAGGTTGATCGGAGTCGATCAATTGAGCTTCAAGAGGCAACTCGGCGATGGTCTTCAATCGTTTGAGGATCGGTTCGAAAGCAAAAGTAGCGGTGTCGACGATGAAAAAATTTACTTGGTCCTTAAATGGACTTTGAAGGACATCAATGGCTTTCTTGAGCCCAGAACCATCGTTGAATCTGATGCCAACAATGGGTGGTGTCTTGAGAAGGTTCGCGACGTCTCTGACAAGCGACCCAAACGCGATGATGGTGCCGTTGCAACAGAGCGCACCAAAAGAGTCATTCTTCATGAAGTTCTTCGACTCTGTTAGGAACGTCTTCTTACCGCCTTTCGGCAGTTTATGCGGAAAAGTGATGCCCTGCTGACACGCGACGTAAAGAGCATATGGAGGGATGTGCTTGGTGTCAATGTCATGGTCGTTATTGATGCCAACCAATCTCAACTGCCCCAAAGCAACAGGACGACGCTTGCTCTTCTTCTGACTCATGGCGACCTGTAGGTCTTCTCGGAGTTCAGAGAGCATGTCCTCGCGAAGCAAACGAAAGAGCCAATCGCGGTAACTTTGGCTTCGGGTCTCAATCGGCGTGTCAAAGACATCTCCCAGTCGTTGGAGATATGGAGGATCGCTTGAGAGAAGTTCATCAGAGGTCGGATAAATTGAGATATTGCGGAAATTGGCATGATCGTTGTCGTGGCGTCCTCCAGGTGTGATTCCGCTGGATGCAATCTCGGGCTGGGCAAAGATCTTGATGATCTTCTCGATGCGGTACGCAATCTTCCTCACTTCGGGCGAGCCTGAGCTGAGAAGAGACTTGCTATCCATCAATTCTTTGACTGCGGCCTTGTGGGAGTCGAAGCTGGTTTGATCCGAGACAATTTGTAGACACAGCCAGGCAAATGCTTCAAGGCCGACATTGTCAAGTTTGTCACTGTGGTAAGCGCCGACTGCAGCAGTCCAAAAGGTCGATGGCTCCAGAATGGCCTTTAACATCTGGCGAAGAAATCCGCCGTTGCTGAGAGCAGCAACACCCTCATCCGATAACGTTAGGAGGAATGGCAAGGCAGTGGTATTTATGAAGCTAAAAGTCAAGTCGACGCGGACTACTCGCTCCAACGCCGCGATACCGGCAGGGTTTGAGATAAGGACCTCGACAAATTTGACGGGCGAGTTCTTGCTACTGTAGATCTCACAAGCCTGTACAAACAACTTTGCGGAGTGTGCAGTCGTGATTTGTTGTTCGCCTTTAATGACGGCCCAGAATGTCTTGATGAGCTTTGCGGCTCGAGAGCCAGATGCGTCTCGTACCAGAACCATGGCAGCGATGATGATGATACTCAGATAAGATGATGATGATGAAGTTGCTGACGAAAGTAAAACTGACGGTGTTGGAAGAATGTGATATCACCGAATAAGTGAGTGAGTGAATGCAGCTTCCATTTGTATTGAATGAAGCTGTCTGTCTGTCTGCCTTGACCTCACCCAACCAGCATCGCCACGACGGCCAACAGAATGCATGGGGCCGACAAAGCCTCCCGTGTGATGCGACAATGAAACAGACATTTAATTCGCTGTCAATCAGGCTCTGCGTTGTTTTGGTCGGCCTCCCACAGCTCACGGCGGAGACATCATCAAGGACTTGGCAATTAACTCCGGTGCAGTCCAACAAGATTTCAATCAACACATGAAGAATATGTATACATATCCACGATAATTTAGACAAGCTCATTCACTTTTTCCATGGTAGATAGCTTGTTTTCAGCACCCTGGTTGAGGAGACACGTGAATGAAGAATGCCTGTTCTTCACAGCCCAGCGGTCGGAAAATGGGCCAACATTGTCGCAACCAACAAAGGATGAGCAAAGTGTAATTAATGCAGAATCTAGGCAAACACTGTGACATATTCCCATGGATTGTCTGGTAGGCCTCCTGGTGTTACACAGAGAAAGTGAATGGCATCTAAGAATATAATGAGTTATCCATCCCCATCTTGCTCATTCTCATCAGCCTCAGTCACCCAGACTTTTCTATATCAATCATAGCACATCATCATCCATACCTCATTCACAAGACTCACTTCATGATGTACGGACGCCGTCAAGGAATTTCGCGCGTGTGGCGAGCACCCGCGCCTGTGACTTCATCGCCAGCACCTCCACTCGGAGATGTAATTGAACGCATCAACCAAGACAGCCTCAAAAGCGATGGCGATCACGTGGGGATTGAGAATGCCAAAGTACTCGCATCCTACAACTGGATCAGCTCATCTTCTCCCGAGATCACCATCCCAGGTACGTGAGCCGCTCCAGAAAAACAGCATGTCTGACATGTACAGGTCAACCCCCGAGATGGACACCTCCCAAGGGTCTGAACAAGCTGCCTGGTGACGCTGGCGAGTACTATCGCGATGTCAACGCAGCAGCTTATCCCAAGCATCCTCTTGAACCTGCAATTGTCTCTATCATGCAAATGAATCCCGACCCTGTCCCGGTCAACATCGTCGCATGTGGCAGCACGATCGGCAACCTCTTGCGCTTTGCTCGAGGCGTTGATCTGGATCGCTCGTTTCGCATGCTCGTTGAGAAGGTCGGCGAGACTGTTCATCTCATTCGCAGAGAGAATTCGCCTCGCGAGAAGATTGAAGGCGTACGAGGATTCGGGCATACATTCCCAGAGGCGTACACCACATGGGACTCTTCAGTCAAGCGCTCGACCTCCCATCAGCGAATCATTTTGTATCAATTCGGGGGTCTTGATCTCATGGTGCGCTTCGAAGGGGACGGGTACATTTCGTCCAGTCCTGTCGCCAAGACTGTGAAGGGGCAAGTTGTTGACGATTTAGAAAGTCTCGGCATCACTGAATCGCTGTCAAACGGTACTGGTAAACTCAAAGTGTCAGATGGAGGCGAAACCGTCCCCCAGGGCAGCATCTTCGACTTGAAGACGCGATCAATCATGGCTCGTGAAAAAGATCACCTCGGCGAACAACTTCCACGCTTGTGGATCGCCCAAGTCACGCAATTCCTCCTCGCCTACCACGAAAGAGGTCTTTTCAAAGACTCCAACATCGACATAAAAAATGTCAAAGCCGACATCGCCGAGTGGCAGGAACTCAACCAGCCATCGCTCAAGCGTCTCGCTGCACTCCTGCGCCTCATAATTGACAAGGCCCACGCGTCAAAGGACGGCAAGTTGGAGATCGTATGGTCCAACGGCGGCTCTCTCGAGATTCGCAAACAGCTATCGGACGCAGGTGACGTCTTGTCTGAGCCTGTCAGGAAGCAATGGGAGGCTTGGTTGGGGAGTGAGAGCAAGGATCCGGAGGACTCGGAGCGCGAAGAAGAGTTGATGCCGGCGCAATCGGATAGTGAGAGTGAGAGTGATTATGCTGCGTGTGATCAAGAGTGCGGATATTGCGGAAAGTGTATATACTGAGGAGTGGCTGGTGGGATGGGAATGTCATGATGTACCTGACGAGTACATAGCATTAAAGCGCCGATGATGTTAACAAACAGACCCTTCAGTAGCCATTCTTACCGAACTACCGAGTTACAGATCATCAACTGGGTAAGGGACCTTCCAGATGAGACAAGGGATGCTGACAGACGTCAGTCACTGTATCACCCTTGCTCAACCCTTGAAATCGACACGTCCATACCCTACAGATCACATCACTCGTGCCACGCAATTGTCTCAAATGGCGCACATGTACGTTTCACCAGCGCGGATCGCAATGAATGAAGATCACAGCAAAAAATAGCACTGCCTCATGGAAAATATGGATCATCCAATACCTCCTGGCGCGCGCCAAATCGGGGCCACGCCCATAACTCTGGGGAAGTCTGAGCCAGGCATTTTAGCGCATGAATCCCAAGGCCAAGCTTTTTTCTTGGTGTCAGACGAAGAAGCATGGGAATGAGATCGGCAAGTGGAAAAGCTTCGTCGTACCCTTCAATGTAACAGACCACACAGTATCCGGATTGAATACCAAATGTCTTGCGTGCTTTTTTCCCTCCTCCCGTGAAGCATTACGCAAGCTTGTTGGTGGGAATGGTCTGGATGTCTACCCCCCGTATATAGTGGAGCGGGTAAAGAATGAGGGGGGCGAGGCCCTTTTTAGGCGACATACAGTTCTAAACTATTCCCAACGAGGCTGGAGGTTGGGGTTCTTCTAGAACGAAGATAACGATGGTTGATCACTTTCCTGGCCTGCGGCTCTTACTGTAACTTTTTGAAGCGGGGTTGAACAAGACAGCACACGCGAGGGTAACGTGAGAGTGTGAGGTTGGTGATGGGTTGGACGGGCCGACACTGCTGTTAAGATCAGCAGTGGGTGGTATTGGGGGACAGAGAGAGAAGGAGAAGGAGAAGGAGTGCAAATGGTGGTGTCGAGTGTCCCAACGAACGACGAACCTTTTTAGTAAGGTTAGTTTATGGAGAATGGTATGCTTAAAGAAGCTTTCAGAGTTTTTGTCTCTACCTTAGTCCAAGTCGCGGTCAACGACATGATGCACGGCAGCTTGATCGACTTGAAGACGCAAAATGAATTACAGCGGTCTATATACTCCGTACGCAGCATTCAATCAACTTATCATCTACCCTTGTTATTCATCTCCAGATAAAGATACCAACGGCGTAGGTTCCATTTCGCTATCTTGTGGTGGGGATCACCAACTTGGCTTTCCCAGCCGGAGACAGTTCCCGTTGTTAGTGTAGCGGTACCGCAGGCTATTGGCGCCGTTGTCTCAGGGGTCCATAGGAGACACGGGCCACCGAGACGCCAGTACGTGGTTACAGATTTGATCCGTACTCGTATCAGGATTGGATCCATCTCGCTCAGGTTCGCTCCGGCTACAGACTCAATCACTCACGTACGTCGTCTTATAGCGATTGCCCGTCCTATTTTCAGAAACTCTGACTGTACAATACGTCAGCGCGATACAGTCACCGTGTCATCTCTACACGATGCTCCAGATCGTATGGTCCACAGATCAATTTTCTAGCCGCGCCATGTCCGAAGCGCCCAGCCTGTCGAGCCAGTCCAGCCAAGCCAAGAGAGTTCAGTTCAGTCAAGTGCCCGTAGGTTATAATCTAAAATTGCCTCGACCAAATCTTGGGGTCGATTTCGCCTCAGCATTTTATTTCTCTTGCCATTCTTGGCTTTCCCATCGCCTGCCCATGGCACCACGTCCGTCTCTCCTTTGTCAGACGTGATCAGGATTCCACAGACTCAATAGTGAACGTCACCTGTAATTGCTGTTTCAATAATTCGTTTGCTCGGGCGCTGTTTCATAAAAATGAATTTGCAATTCCTGAGACTTTTTGGGTTCCCCGCTCAGTTGAGTTCACTGCCCTCTGCAGGGCGATAAGATAAGCTAAACTACTGCGAACGCACTGTAGCTTGGGAACTTTTCAGGGGGCTTTCCCTTAAAGCTCAGGGCTGGGCTCCCCAACCTCACCTCCACACCACTACAAGCACCCCTGAAGACCCTCACTCCCAACGGGCTTGAAGGTCGCATCACCAGAACCAGTCCCAGTCAAGGATTGGTTTGGTTTGGATTCAGTCAAGACGGGACCTTCAAGGTCGTGTCCTTTTCCATCCCATACGCCCCAATTGTTCGCCACCCCAGCATCCCATCCCTCTTCTACCCCTTGTTCGTCCTCTGCAATCATTCATTACCCCGTCTCTCGCTCTCAAAGACTCTTTCTTTTACTTCTACAACTTGCCTCTGTCCCTCGTTATACTTTTAAAAGCATCGTAGCGAAGGCGCCAGACGACCCCGCGAAGAACAAACTATCGGACTGGATCCGACTTTACGATACCGAACGAGTCAATATGAATTTCACAAAGAAGATTGACCGAGCCTTTCAATGGGCCGGTGAAAAGATGGGTGGTGAAGCCCGAACGGCTCATTCTGATGAGTTCAAGAATCTCGAGACCGAAATGGCTCTCCGTCAAGATGGTTCGTTCCCCGTGGATCATTAACTTTTCGACGACTAACGACTCCAGGCATGGAGCGCATGCAACGATCTATGAGCGGCTACGTCAAATGGTTGTCCCAGCGCAATGAGCTTCTGGATAACAAGGAGCGCGGCACTCCCATGGCGGCTCTTGGCCGTACAATGGCTACCCACGGCGAGGACTTTGAGCAAGAGTCCGAGTTCGGAAACTGCCTGTTGTCCTTGGGTCGCGCCAACGAGCGCATTGGTGGCATCCAAGATTCCTACGTAGACTGCGCCAATGCTACTTGGCTGGACAACCTCGAGAGGAGTCTGGCGATGATGCGAGAGTACCAGGTATGTCAATCGCTTGCTTGACGACACGCCCGCTAACAAGAGTAGAACGCCCGCAAGAAGCTTGAGAACCGCCGTCTCGCCTACGACGCCAGCACCAACAAGCTGCAAAAGGCCCGCCGTGACGATTTCCGCATCGAAGAAGAAGTTCGCATGAACAAGGCCAAATTCGAGGAGACCAGCGAGGATGTCCTTCGTCGTATGCAGGACATCAAGGAATCCGAGGTGGACAACATTACATCCCTGACTCAATTCCTCGACGCTGAGCTCGATTACCATGAGCGCTGCGCCGAAGAGCTGCGTCGTGTTCGCCAGAACTGGGCTGGAGCTTCGTCTTCGCCTACCAGCGCTCCCAAGATCGGTCGCAGTCGATCAAACACCGCTCGTTCTTGGCAAGAACCTCGTCATCAGGCGGTCTACGAGGAGCCAGAGGCTGAACAGGAACCCGCTCGCATTCCCAACCGTTCCCCTGGAAGCCGTCTTGCGCCTCCCCCTCCCCAACCTGCACGACCCCCGATTGGACGCGCCTCGACATTTGAAGGCCGCTCCTCATCTACAGCTACACCACTGGCCAATCTCAGAGTTCCAGGTGCTCCTCTTGCTCGCGTTGCTACTGACGGCGGTTCATACGGACGCCATGACGATGTATTCTCTGATGATGTTTCAACGAGCAGAAGCGGCAGCCCTGACTGGGAACACCGTGCTGCCAGCCCTGCAACTAGCTATGGAAGTCTAAGCCGAAGCACAAGCGGTCTGGCTCTTGGAAAGAAGCCACCGCCTCCCCCTCCCAACCGGGCCAAGAAGCCCCCGCCTCCTCCTCCTGCGAGAAGGGAGAACTTGGGATATTGATGGATTTCATGAGTAAATTGGTAGATTTGGTGTCTGGCTGGCGTTTGGATTTGATTTGGACCATAGAGTCTCACGCGAATGCGTCTGTAATTGATTGAATCGAGCTTGAAATCATTTGGCCGGGAAGTTCAATATTTTGAGCTTGAATGTGAGGCTATTTTAATGAAGTGCGGTCCCTGACGATCACTTCGATAAGATAAGGTCACGTGACATCTAAATCAAGAGGAAGGCAGCTCCGTCATGCAGCCTCTCTGCTCTGCATCATCCACAACAACAAAATGGCGACGGAGGACGAGCGCTATAGGCAGTCCAGCCAATATCGGCTATGGTCGTTCACACCGGCGAACCTCCAAGAGCTGCGCGCAAAGACAAACTCCCTCGCGCGAGAACAGATCGCTCCTCGACTTGCGACAGATCCTCCGCCCGACTTTCTCACCCCCGAGGAGGAGATACGCCTCGTCAAGTTCTTCACCGTCGAGCTTATCCGCGCGGCTACATTCTGCGAGCTTCCTACTGAGATTCGAGCGACGGCCGCTATCTTTCTGCGACGATTCTACGTGACCAACTCGGTCATGACCTACCCTGCGACCGACCTCCTCAAAACATCACTCTTCTTCGGATGCAAGGCGGAAGGCTTCTTCTACAAGCTAAATGCGTTCTCGGATAAGTTCCCAAACACAACTGGCGAGCAGATTCTGGCGGGAGAGTTTCTTCTCTGTCAGGGAATTCGCTTTGCTTTCGATGTGCGACATCCGTTCAGAGCGCTCGAGGGTGCCATCCTGGAGTTGCGAAGGAAGCTACCGGACGAAGAGACACGAATCGGTAAAGCGCACGCCCGAGCGCGAGAAATCCTCAAGTTCAGCCCTCTGGTGACAGACGCATATTTCCACTATGCGCCGAGTCAAATCATGATGGCGGCGCTTTCCATGGCAGACCATGGACTGCTCGATACTCTGATCCCGACTCCTGGTCAAGGCGGCAACGCTAGTCAGGAATCAGCATTTGCAAACATGCGAGACAAGATTCTAGGAGCTGTAGACAGCTGCCGCAAGATGCTCGAAGAGGAACCTCCCGAGAGAATGACAGAGTATTGGGGAACGGTACGCCTAAAGCTTTTTGTGTGAACCATGCTAACAGGAGTAGCCCGAGATTGTCAAAGCGATGAAACCGCTCCGCAAGAAATTGCAGAAATGTCGTGATCCCGATCGAGCGAACCTAGTCAATCTTCAACGAGCGAGACGAGAACAAGTTATGAACAAGGAAAAGAAGGCGGCGGCCAACGAGGACGGGACAGTATTTGGGGATGATCTCCGAGAGACAAAGAGGGTGAAACTGGAAAACGCCGATCCATTTGGACCTCCTCTCTGAGTTGCCCCGTCAAATTGGTGAACAATCCTTTCACCCAACGAACCAAACCAATCGGCATCTGCCAACAATTTTGCCAAAAACTCTGCGACAGTCTGGACTCTGAACCATGTCCGGCCATTTTTGACCGATGCATGAGCTGACCAACATCCCTTTTCACCCTCGGCGTTGCATTGGCCGATTTACACTCCAAGGGAGCTCTTCATCACCCTATGAAACAGCTGGAATGCAACGCTAGCAGTGCCGAGCGCCTTGGCGGCGTCTTCAATTGAGTGAGGATCAGTCAAAACAAAAACTCGGCTGTGTACAAAAACTGAGCTTTGCTGTTGGGCGATGGCCTAATAAATATCTATGACGATATCACGATACCCGATCGGCTGTGGAGTGTGGGGATCCGGGCTGAGGAAGCTTGCAGCCTAGTCCGAATTGACTCCAAGCCCAATGAGATTTTCCGGATATTACCAGCAGGAGCATGAAGCTATTGATCCGTGTAGGTTGTCTGTTACGCGGTTCGCCTTGGACCGACACCAGCAAACAGGCTTTTTCCTTCAGGTTCAGGTTCGATACGAGGCAGAACTAGTTACAATAGCTAATGGAAATATCTTGCTTCAACCAATTGAATGCACGTCTCTCGCATGGTGCGACTCCAAACTGCAACTCCCGGAGACACAGCTTCCCCGGCTTTCGGCACACGGCAAGCCACGACAGGACTCAGAGTCTCTTCCAACCCTTGACCTCGTCTCAGACCAAGAGCCTTGGCGTGGGCTGAGTAGCACTTCACCATTCTGGCCATTGATGACGCTTGAGCTCTTGGTCTATGTCATTGACTCTGTTTTGAGTCTGGTCTCGCGAGGGGGAAGGCTCGTGCTCGTGCTGAGCGATGCTCTACCAATTGGCCAGGATGCTGCCGTCGAAGCTTGTCTCTCGAGGAGTTCTTAAGCTTGATCTTCCCCCCCGTGTTTCTGGTCTCGGGTTCGTGTTGTTTATCCAAGATTAACTCTGTCTAGTCCATCATCAAAATGAAGCTGCAGTCTCTTGTCGCCCTCGCCCTCTCGGGCTATGCCACTGCCCAGAGCCGTGTCAACCTCACTGCTGCTCTTGAGTCTGAGAACTCTACCCTCTCTGAGCTCAGCGGTATGTTATTGTTACTGTATCTTATCTGCAGACACAAACTGATCGTGTAGGCCTTCTTCGTGCCCAGCCCAGTCTTCTCAGAGACCTTGGCCGTCTTAGGAATGTCACCATCCTGGCCCCAAGCAACGATGCCATCAAGGACCTCCTCAATGACACCGCTGTCGCCCGCATGGTCGAGAACGACCCCAGCTCCGTCGCTGCTATCCTTCAGTACCACGTTCTGAACGGTACCTACTATGCCAGCAACATCAGCGACACAGCCGCTTTTGTCCCCACCCTCCTCACCAACGCGACTTATGCCAATGTCACCGGTGGACAGCGTGTCGAGGCCATGGCCATGGGCGATACCGTCAGCTTCTACAGTGGTTTCCGCCAACAGTCCAATGTCACCAAGGCTGTAAGTCATCCAATTGATCAATTACAGCACTCACTAACACACTCAGGACCTCAACTTCACTGGTGGTGTCATCCACATCATCAACAAGGTCCTCGCCGTCCCCAAGAACCTTTCCGACACGGCCATCGCCGCCAACCTCTCCGCCGTTGCTGGCGCCCTCACCGAGTCCAAGCTCGTCACAAACCTCACCAATGAGAGGAACATTACTGTCTTTGCTCCCAGCAACAGCGCCTTTGCCAACATTGGCTCTGTCCTCTCCAACTTGAGCGAGTCTGATCTCGAGAGCATTCTCAAGTACCACGTTGTCAACAACACTCTTGGCTACAGCTCTACCCTCAAGAACGGTTCTCTCACTACCTCTGAGGGTGAGAAGCTCAACATTGTTGTCCACAACGGCACTGTCTGGGTCAACGAGGCCAAGGTCATTGTTCCTGATGTCCTCATCGCCAACGGTGTCGTCCATGTCATTGATGCGTAAGTCACTACGCTCGCTTTGATGAACCCAACTAACATTTCCAGTGTCCTCAACCCCGACAAGCCTTCTGCCACCGCCAACCCTACCGCCAGCACCCAGGAGGCCGCTTTCTCCGGCGCCAGCTCCGTCAGCGACATCCCCTTCACATCGGGTGTTCCCGAGAACACAAACACAGCTGCGGCCACTGGCCTGTCGCCTTCGACCTCCACTGAAGGCGCTGCCCAGGCCACAGCTGCCATTGCGCTCGGCGCCCTTTTCGGTGGTGCCGCCCTTGTCATGAACTTCTAAGCTTGGTCGGATTAATGGTTAATGGTTATGTGCATGATATGGATTAATGGACGATAGTAATGATGGATTGAATACATGGTTTGACCCACGGCTTGTCCCTTGTTGTGAAAGTTTAACTCTCGATGCTCCCGAAGCCACGGCACATGCCACAGACGTGACTCAAACCTCAATAGCAGGCCCTTCATCCCCGTAGATAGGATCTTTCCGAAACCACCCCACGCTCTTAATAGCTTTCACCTTATCCTCCTCGCCCTTCTTCCCATAGCACATATCCCAATCACAGCCCTTCGGATAACTCCCGACCATCTCAAACCCGCCGTCCAGATCCTCCAGCAGGCGATGCCCCACTCCCGCGGGCATAATAACAACATCGCCCGTTTCCACCACCGGCTCGACCCTCCCCTCATTGTCTTCGCCACCAAAGCATAAGCGGGCTCTGCCGTGGCTTATGCAGAGTACCTCGTGGGTCGTGCTGTGGAAGTGTGTCTGGGAGTACATTGTGTAGCGCCACTGCGGTGTTACCACGTTAATTGAGGTTAGGTGCGCTGCGATCTTTGAGGCCGATATTGGGGGCTTGAAGGCGGCGTGGTAGTGAAGAAGGGGTTTTTGATGGATGCTGCAATTGGGGATCAGGTTGTGAGATGGGATGAGATGCTTGGAGACGCGGAGAGATGAGAGTGGTGTTAGAGACATTGTGAGTAGTTGCTTGCAGTATAAATGTGTAATGAAGATGTGAAGATGTGAAGAATTGGGCGATGCTGTGATGTTATTGAGCTGTTGATGCATGAAGTAACGATTTCAATTGACGCCATTATGCCATCTTTAGGGTAGGTCAATGAAGTAATTGCCATGGCATCTTGACAAGCTTCTCCAGCAACCCCAACATTTCCCAACTCACTCTCGTACATTTACTCGATTGTCGTTAATGTAAGTCAATGATAAAATGCGATACCTACCCGGAACCAAGCATTGGCGTTTCCCCGCGATCGACCCACGTGGCGTCCGGGGAGGCTTCCGGTATTGACACGGCCAAGTCCGCTCTGTCCGGCTGGGCATAGGCACCCTTGACGATAGCTAGAGGCAATATTATAATCCCATCCTCATCTGAACTTATGTAGGATGTCTCTATGGGTAGTTTACGAGTCGCCTCCAAACAAAAGAGTTTCAAACAGTCGGAGGTACTACTGTAGCCTTCATGATTTTGAAATGGTTTGATGAAGAGAGACTGGGGATAGCTTCGAGGACTCATGTATGTTTATTGAGCGCGAGACCTGATCCCAACGGATTAAATGTATCAACTCATGAAGTACAACTTGGACAGCTCAACGAGCAAGAGTCTCTCTCTTACGAATACAAACGCTGAAGGGATAAAACGATATACAGAAAAAATATATCTTAAGGCAAGCTTCTCAAAGCGCTTGCCTCAAGTGATGCTCAGATACCCGTAGTATACGAACTGCCGCCCTGGAGCAAGATTAGCATTGTAGTTATCCGAGAGGATGTGTTGAGGCCCTTGGTATCTGTCAAAAGTCTAGACGAAAGCTATGAGCTCTCGACAGGATATCCGAGATTAGGCTATATGAGATTAAGCTTAACGCAATGAAGAACAGTGCACAGTCTTCGGGATTGGATGGAATACGACAGATTGTGGACAGGCCGACAGGGTGATTAGCTGGATGGTAAAAGACTATCCGCCCATGGTATCAATTCACTAGATTGACTATACGACGAATCGGAATGTAGCTGTCAGGTATCCGTATGTGTTTATTAATAGTCCTGTTAATTTGTAGATGCCTGGGGACCATTACTCAGTCTTCACGATGTAGAAGTCGAGCTTGAATCCTGTTCAATGCAAGCAATATTCCCATCACCATGACTCAATCATTGGAACAGGTAACCTTATCGTTGCATTGAACCGATCATGTCATGTGCTGAATCGCGTCAATCTTCAATGCAACCAAAGAGACATCCAGACTCGTTAGATCTACTACCCGCCACGATATGCTTCTTATCCACCCGGACAAGTTACTTCATAAAGCAACAATCTGCGTATGTTCGAGGCCAAAGCTTTTCGGCACATCTTTGAGCGTAGCTTAAAAGGTGGAATAATAACGAGCACTCTGCGCAATGTGTCAACGCCACGCGAGATGCTTACCAGATCGGCTTCATGACAGACGCAGGGGGTTTGACCACATGGAACATCTGCACGCAATCTAGAACACGTTTTCAAACAATCAGGGGCGAACAGTGCATCAGTCGAGGTTGCATTTCTAGGGTAATATGCAAGTAACCCATGTCCATGGAGGCCTACAAAACATTAAAGTCAACAAACCAAGCGCGAAGTAACATAATTATAGTCAAATGATAACTACGCAAGTGGAGAGGGCATTAATCATTGCCAAGTCAACGATGACAGAAGGCTTCCTGCCAGATTCACTTAGTGACCGTTGATGTAACAGCCCTAGGATCATGACTAGCTAATCTATCTGTACAAGGCTAGCGGTCTGGACAGGTCTTGGCTTCTAGTGTCAATAGCTTCACCGAGGCGAGGATGGAAATGGATCACCTCCGCAAAACGCTACAATAGTACGAGAAACCTTGTTTTCTGTGAGCGAACCCGTTCTGTTCAATCGTCCGAAGCTATTAAATTGCATGTGAGAATGGACCGCGCTCGGGGTATTGTAATGTTTGCTTTGTTCTGATGATAAGCTTTTGGAAATTTCCTCGTCTTCGGTTGAATTGCCGCGTTGAGCTGAAACCTGGGGTAGGATCGGACCATGCTAACCCGAGTTTTATCAGGCTGATTTGAGTTCTGATGAAGCACAGAAACTCAGGAATAAAGGGGCTTGGTTACGGAATCATTCCGTTACAGAAATCATGCATTTGGCTGACTCGAAGTCGAGCGCCTTCAAGAGCGAATTGCTGATCATTTCCATTCTCACAATTAGAGCCAAATCTCGAGATGATCGTCGTCTACAGCCCAACCAATCCTTGGCAAGACAGGGATCGGGCCGTTGGCACATGCCAAGCTGATTGATTGATTTTGGAGCGTCAAGGATCTTTTGCTCTAGACTAAACCCGCGAGACGACCTTCCAGAATTGGGGACCTCACCCACGACTTTGAAACTCCGGTCTCTTTTTCCTCACTCACCACGTAAAAAAAGGAGGTTACCGAAGCCCGGCAGTCCCATGCCGATTAGTGCGGTACCTGGTATTTCAGCCCAAAACTAAATTACCCTCCCAGTGACAGTACAGTCCACGTTACGAGATACTCTAAACAAACGCTGTGCTTGCGCCAATTAATACACTAACGTTATTAGCCCCCCTACAGCAAACCGATGTGACGCTGTATCTGGAAGAATCCGGATCATCCATGTTTTAACTTGCTTCCAAATTGACGGGACGAACGCAGTGGGGTTGGTTGCGCTGCTGATCCCTTGAGACGATGACTATAAGGCCCAGGTTTAAAGAGAGAGAACCCCTACGTCTGGCCCAAAGTCAAATCTGTTAAATATCCCCTGGGGTCCGCACACGCGGGTCATCCTCCTTGTAAATCGTTTGTCGATCAATATGAAGTGGATTGTGCCTTTTCTGGTGGCCTTTGTGCCCCTGGTAGCGGCACAAAATGCAACGAAAGAGTTGTTGACCAATCTGCCTGCCTGTGCTGTGAGTTTACCCGTTAATTGGGTTGTTCATACTAATATTGTAGGCTCCTTGTTATGAAGATGCCATCAAAAAGTCGGACTGTAACTCTACGGACGTGAAATGCGTGTGCTCAACCCAAGTCATCATCCAAACAGCAGAAGCATGTGCCGCCCAAGCATGTCACGTCAGAGATAGTCTGAGTACGTCGAACCCTCCTCACCATCACCTCTCTAACATGAATAGCAACTCTCAACATGACATACACATACTGCGAAGTCCCCGTCCGAAACAAGACCCCCATCTTCATCAACGTCACAATCGTCCTCGGCGTGATATCCGGCGTCGCAACCGCCCTACGTCTCTGGTCCAAATTCTTCTACACCAAGACCGAACTCGGCCTCGACGACCTCTTCATCGTGCTCACCCTCTTCATCGGCATGCCCTCCACCGCCATGAACATCCACGGAACCGCCGGCCACGGAGAGGGCCGCGACATCTGGACGCTAGAGTTTGATGACATTACAAAGTTTGGGTTCTACTTTTGGTTGCTCGAGATATTCTACTTTGCGCAGGTTTCGCTCCTCAAGACGTCGTTGTTGTTCTTTTATCTTAGGATCTTTCCGGGGAATGCGCAGAAGTTGCTTTGGGGGACTATCATTTTCAATAGTGTCTTTGGTGCGTTGTTTATGTTTTTGGCGGCGTTTCAGTGTACGCCTGTGAGCTACTTTTGGTTGAATTGGGATGGAGAGCATAAGGGGACATGGTATGTTAATGATTGTGCTTGTTGGACTTGGCTAACTATATCAGTATGAACTCGACTGCCATCGGCTGGGCCAATGCATCTATCAGTGTTGCTGTGGATGTATGGATGCTTGCAGTTCCGATGTGGTATCTGCGAAAACTCAAACTGCATTGGAAAAAGAAGATTGGTGTGGCTGCCATGTTTATCGTGGGAACTTTGTAAGTCATTCCCCAATTTCAATGAGAGTAGCTAACTTTTCAGTGTCACCGTCGTGAGCATCATTCGTCTTCAGTTTCTGGTCGATCTCGGCTCATCTCACAACCCAACGTATGACCAAACCGACATCTCAATCTGGTCAACCGTTGAAATCAACGTCGGCATCATTTGCGCATCCATGCCGGCTCTGCGAGTCATTCTCGTCCGTCTGTTCCCCTCTCTTGGAGGCTCATCCTACGATTCGAGCAAGTACAACAACTACGGGGAACATTATGGACGGAAATCACATATTATGAGCCGAAGTCGTGCTCGGGTGGAGTTACCTTCCCATACGGGTGATTCTATACATACACCTGAGCACGGAGGCATTGAGTTGCAGAGGACGTTCCATGTGCAGTATAGTGAGAATGATGAGCAGAGTCTTGTTAATGGGGAGAGTAAGTTTAACAAGACGCAAGTTACGACTCAGATGAGATCCGAAAGTCCGAGCGATAGGTCATTGTAGAGCGATAGTTGATTGATACCTTTAGCAGAACTAATGAACATATTCTTACATACTGTGCACTTCTATCCAACTTGAATTCTTGTATATCTTATGACCAGGTGCGTCCTAGGGTCAATGCACAGGATTCATCAAATGCACAGACATGCGATATCTTTGTTGGTTGGCCCAAAGTGATTGTGGAGGGAGACCTATCAGCCCAGCACGTTTTGACCACAAGAGCTATCACAGTTCGTGGGTAAATTGAAATGAAGAAGACTGAAGAGTATTCCCCTAAGTTCCTCTAATTTCATTCAATCAGCCCTGGTGATGTCGTCTGCCGTTGTATGCACAAACCGCACTTCTGCGACTAGTTTGACGCCACTTTGCATTGTCTTGAGAACAATATCAAATCCAACCTGACTATAAGTCAAAACGAGCTATTGTTCTTAATGCAGCCAATCAACATGCAAGAATGCTGGCTGCCTTCTGGTCAATCTCAGTTCTTGCTTGCAACTGATTGCATCTAAAATTCTAAGGAACGCTTTCACTTCTGTTTCCACCAAATACAAATCTAGAAACAAGGCAAAGAACGAGAAAGATCCAAAAAGTCGAAGACAACATGGACAGCTCTCGTGTTGAGGGAACGGCAATCACGATTCGACCACTATCACAAGTTTCACTAATCGAACATGACAGCGATGTGTTTCGGCAGTTTGAAACTTGCAGAGAATCTATAAATGGTCATCTAAAAAGGTACTTCGAGTATATCGGCCATGAAGGGAGCAAAAAGGATCTTCCCGGGCTTTATGCCAGACCTCTTAAACCCCGTGGCTCTGAAGCAGATCAGAGTGCCCGACTTTCACAAACAAACGCGATGAAAGACCTCGTCAAGCTCGACGACATTCTTGGAAAGATCATACAACAGGAGCGGCCTTATATCAAGGCTATGTCTCCACTCATCGTTGCACGGTATGTATCATCTCCCCTCTAGTTTCATCGCTTACAAACTTAGGATGGCATCTTGCTTCGCTTTGCCATATTTCACCTCGCAAGACGATCTGTCTAAATTTTTCAAGATCGGTGCTATTTCAGGAGCCTTTGTTATCGCTGCTCAGCTGGTTCGCAAATTTCTGCAGTTGAGAAAGATTACTCCTCTACAGCACAAGGTGCGAGGACTGGTTCGGGCGTTCAAGAATGGGACGATACGGTATAGGGATCCGGAGGAAGTCATGATTTTGTCGTTGAAATAGCTTTGTTCAAATACAAGGATTAGTTATCACGAAAGCTTCACTTGGTCTCTCGCCGTCTTATGTGCTTAGATCTTCAGCCCTACGCTGCGCCCCATGCTCCATGGGATCTGACGGCGCAGCTGGCTTGGCAAGTGTATCTGCTTTCTTGGCTTCCTGGCGCCTTTTGGAGACTGCCAACTTCCTCTTCTGGCATGTCTTGCAATTAAACGAATTCCTCATCCATCCAGCAAGACCTTGTGCCGCGACCCTGCATCGTGACAGCGACCGATCGGATCCACCGTCAATTGGTTACGAGTTAGAAAACCGGGGGCCGGAATACACAGTGGGAGAGTCTAAATGTTATTGAGAGCCTAGCTAGGTATAAAAAGTCTAATCTTATTCCTCAGATTCGTTATCCTTGTCAAGCACATGATTTGCTGGGCGCTCAGGGACAAGGAAGGCAGCAAAAGATGTTGAAGGGAGAGAGATACAGAACATGACAAAGGCGACGATGAGGTTAGTGAGAGATGGCACCTTGGCAGCACCAACACCAAATGCCAAGCATGATCCAAGAGACTCGAAAGATCGAACTAGGCCGACAGCGAGAGTCAGGGTCTCTACATCCTCGAAGAAAGTTCCGATGATCCAGTACACAAACATGTAGTGAGATTCGTTCATGAAACTGTTTGATTAGTACTTGTTTTCGCAAGCGCAGCAGATGTGAACGTACCGAAGAAGAACTTGTACAGCGAATCCACGACCGAAGCCAGGTAGGTCCCAATCGAGAGTAACAGCAGGGTTGGCGTTACGATACTCCAGCTCCATAGCAAACTGCCAACCAAACAGAGCAGTCATAGTAACAGCCAAGAACACCCATGTGATTCTAGCAAGCTGAGGTCGGCTGAAATACTTGAGATCAAAGAACCAGCCCCAGAAGATATTGGCACCAGTAGCAGCAATACCCGAAGTCAACGACGCCAAAGCACGAGCTCGGACGGAAAAGTAGTTGACGAGATAAATGCCCAGGTACGTGCTGTTCCAGTTGAAACCGACGAGAATAGGAATCAAGAGGAAGAACTGCTTGCGCTTTATGAGAGCGCCCCATCGTCTGCATTGTTCCTTGATACTCTTGTTGGTTTGGGGGTGAGGTAGCTTGGAGCCATCAGGTCGGATAACTTTGTTGGGAGGTGAGATGAGAAGGGCGAGAGGAAGACCAAGGCATTGGAGAGCGATGAGGACAAGATAAGTGGTATATCCAACACGACCTCTCTTTCCAGACTCAACGTTGAGTGAGAGCTGAATGGAAGAACCAATGAGTTGTCCAAGCTCACGAAGACCAAGCCAAATTCCAGCTACAAGGGTTAGCACAGCAACTTCACAAGCAGATCATACCACTTACTGAACTTTCCACGATCCTTGACATCACCATATCCCAAAGCGATAGCACCCTCCGAAGCCCAAAGCGCAGAGGCAGCAATACCACAAGTCGCACCACCAAACAGAACAAACCACTCAACACCATATCTGTTATTGGTGTAAAGCGCCGCAGAATAAGGTGCATATCCAAGGGTGCCGATAACAAGAACCCATTTCAGACCAATCTTATTGGCCAGGATACTAAAGATGGAACACCCAAAGACCATGATGCCAAAAGTAAGCGAGTTGGCGCCATTGACAAGGTATGGTTCCTGTTGACCACCAGCGCCGGTATCTACAATCGTTAGCGATGGAACGTGAGAAGATGGTGAACTTACTGTTGAGGGCATTCCAGATTCCTGGTTGAGTGAAGGAGATAAGACCAACGATTATGACATTGAATAAAGGACTGCGATACCAGCGTGTAAATCTAGATACAGGCTTGGACTGTTCGATGCTCTGTTCAGTGACATCCTTGACATCTTTGTCGCTGCCAGATTCGATCACAGCGTTGGACGACATTTTGACAGACAAACATCCAAATACAAACTCAAACTCAATTCAAAAAAGATTTCCATGGCTCACCTCTTATAAACCCCTCTCATATTCGCCATTCTTTCACAAGTTTTTCATCAATGGAGTATCAATTGTGGATTGAAACAAGGTTAAGTGCTCAACTCTTCCGAATCAGGCTAGAATCGCACGTTGCCCGACGATATAGTCAGTGGCCATTTCCACTTTTTGCGATTGTCCGTTCATTTCGTGCTCGACAGGGTCGATGGCGACATGATATCTTGGATCTCAGTGGGTAGTTCATCTGCAAGTAATATCCTTATCCATAGCTATGTATATGCATAATGTCTATTAGTGAAACCGTTGAAGATATAACAGCATCTCCGCTTCGCGAGTCAATATCGGAAGCTTAAATACTGACCAATCACGTATCTTTCCGACGAACCTGACTCGAGCTCCAAGTCGGAAACGTCTCCGCCCTCTCCAACTAAACTCCCCCCCATTCTCTCCCCCCCGTTACGTTAAACCCAACTTTGTTTCTCATCACCTCATCGAGCGCTCTCCCATCGTCGGTAACAGAACAACCTCCGTATCATGGCGGGGCGGAACTCTGACTCTCAGGGCCAGACATCCCCGCTCGAGTCTGGTGATTCGCCGCGGCCCAGACAAGCAGCCTGTCTTGTGTGCCGTCGCTCAAAGATTAAATGCGACTGGAAACCTCACCAGGAACGATGCAGGAGATGCATTCAGCTTGACTGCGAGTGTGTGCGTCCCGCATATCATCCCGGACGGCAAAAGGGTATTAAAAAGTAAGCGTCACCGAATGTTATTTGTTGTGAGATTCATTGCTGACTTGTCAGTAAACGGACGGGGTTGGATAAGGCGCTGTATCAGATTGACCAGGCTGTCAAGCGCGCCAGATCAGCGTCGCAGAAGAATCCTGAAGATGATAGAATTCTGAACCATTTGCAGGAATTGCTCAGCAATGCTAATACACCTGAACACGCGACTCGTGGGTATAGTGTTAGCGGTGATGGCGATGAAGATGCGTACTCAGAAGAGGAGGAGGAGCAAGACCCTGTAGCGATGCCTGATTTCATTCAGAGAACACAACATAGTCTTGCTATTGATGATGCAGAGAATCCACTACAGCTTCTCGCGAGGGCATCGTATATCCAACCGTCGCCAGAGTCGCGACATGGCAATTCTCCAATACAGGCGCATACGGCTAGTACACAGGGTCATACGGAGGATGAAATTCAAGCATTCTTTGCGCCGGCGCAAGTCCATCTTGATGTCGGACCTGATGTCGATCCTGTTTCTCTGGGGCTTGTGTCTGAGGAAGAAGCGGATAAGCTCTTTAACTTGTGAGTTTGTTACTGTATGTTTGGCGCGTACTAACCGCGTAGTTTTCATCGCAATCTGGCGCATACACGATGGGGTCTTGATCCGAGGATATACACGGTCGAATTCACGCGTTCAAGATCAGCGTTTCTTTACACGTCTATCATGGCTGCCTCTGCGCTTTTCATGCCATCGGCAGCGGCCCTCTCAAAACGATTATCGAATCACGCTAGAACTCTTGCGCATAGAGTCATGGTAAATCGATACAGATCAGTTGAAATCGTACTTGCTTTCATGGTCAATATTCCATGGATGTTTCCAGGCCAGCATTCAACCGACGATGAGACATGTACTTATATCTCGATTGCCAACACAGTTGCGACAGATCTATCACTTCACAAAAGTCTCATCTCACCAGAAATGATCGGTTCAGGGTCCGGTATCGGTCTAGCAAGGGGAGACTGTCTCGACCCAAGAGCTGCCCTCGCAATGGATGGATTCCCCGAAATCGATCCATGGTCAGAAAAAGGAAGACTATTTCTTCGAAATCGCGAACGATGCTGGTTATCGTTATTTGTTCTTGAGCGAGGAATGTCTTTGGCCAGAGGACGACCTTTTTCAGTGCCGATGACGAGATCTTTGAAAGATTGCGATAACTGGCATCGTTCTGAATATGCTGATCCTCTTGATGGCCATCTTGTTTCCATGGCGGTGCTGAGAAGGGATTTGGATGCGCTGTTTGCTACTGTTCGTGCTCTTTGCGATGGATCTCAGATGGCGTCTAGTGATGGATCATTAATCGCGCAGTCGTACGTACGCCACCAAAGTCGGCGACAAAGCTAACAGTCGTAGGATTCAAGGGTCGATTGAACGATTCTTTGATCAGTGGTACACAGAATGGGGCGTATCGATCGGAAAAGGACCAGGTAAGGTCTATAGATTTGTGACAAGAACCATGCTGACCATCAGACCGTCGTCTCCCTCCTTACGTCGAAATTCTCGTCACACATACCCGATTGTCCATCTACGGCGGCGTAATAAACCATCCAACAGCACCCCTCGAAGTCCGCCGTTTCTTCCACACAGCAGGTCTCTCATCCGCCCTCAACGTAATGCGCGCCGCAATCCAAGGCGAATCCCAACTCCAGTCCATGCCAAACAACACAGCCATCATGATATCTTTCGCAGCCTGCTTCGCCCTCACACTAAGTTCCTACGCAACAGGCGGATCAGCCCTCGCCCCAAGCGTGCGCAACCTCATCGACGAAACTGCCACGGTGCTCGAAAGGATCGGAAAGGTCACAAGGCATCGGAATGGTCTTTCTATCAAGTATGGGAAATACCTTAAGCAGATTGTGAGAAGGGCTGCTACCGGAGACGGTATATCGGACCCGAGGATGCCAATTGTTAATGAAGCTCCGATTACTACTCCAACGTTTTTGGATCAGCAAGCGTTGTGGCCTGAACCGTTGCAGTTCTCAGCTATGTCTGATGACCAGATCGTTCAGGCGCTGAATCAGCCAGGTAACGATTTTGAACCTTCGTTTGGGGGTTTATCATGGGAGGACATGACTAATTTCGAATGGCTTTACTGGCCTGAAGTTGGTATATAATTGCTACATAAATCAACAAACAAAGTTACTTGCTCAAATCAATCTCACTCAAATCCAGAACGCATTTCTCATCGCAGGGTTTCCTTCTCCGCTGCACTAATCCCAGCTAACCAATCTATCGACGTAAGCTGTCGAAGCTTCTCCATAAACACAAAGGTCAAAACAGTATGCGGTCTAAAACGTCAGCTTACCTCAACAGGAGATGCGAGGAACTTACGTTAGTCTTAACCAAGCGGGTGTCCAGCCTCTCATGAGGAATCGTGGACCTTCTTCACGAAGACCCGTGCCTAGAACTTGGGCTAGGCCTTCTTTTCCAGCACTAGATTGCATTCTACTCTTGAGGACGTCTGCGGGGGCACATAAAGTTGTCGCCATTGTTCCAGCGGCTAGAGATGAAATAGCATGTGTCTTTATATCATCTCCAAAACCGTTGCTGACGAGGTATTGTTTGGCGGAGGCGTATCTAAGTTGTTAGTCGAGTCACTCACAGAAGCAGCAAACAGCAAACCTACGTAGCGATCTGAGAGACATCTACACTTATCAGTAAAGTTCATTCACGAAGCAGAAAACTCACTCATCAAAGCACTCCTCGCAATGTTCGGCGCAATCCCCTTCCAAAACGCCCTCATCCCCTCCTCACTATAAACCCTCGCCAGCGCATCAAAAGCATGAGCATATCCGAATTGCTGCGCAGGAGCCTTTGCGCCATCCGCACACATGCGCACAAGAACAACTTCAGCTGGATTGCCGACTAGACCAGCTACACCGCCGGCTACACCAGCGCAAGCAATGTTCTGCGCGACTGAGAGCTTCTTGCCCGTGTATCCTCTCAGTTTATCTGAGAAGTATGTGTGGAAGCCGAAACGGGCGGTTGAGTATGTTCCTTGACGGAGGATGGAAGCTGATAAACCGGTCCAGAGTGATGGGATGCCTGATAATTAGTGGATGAGTGGTATAAAGGTTGGAGAGCTTACCATCTCGTACGGCGAAGCGGTAGAGGACGTTGAGCATGGAGGCATTGCTTTTGAGGACTTGCATGCGACTAACTTGTTAGCTTTGAGAGGGTAGTTTGGCTGATAAACTTACTATTTGGTTTGGTCCAAGGGGTGGGCTTCACATGTTAGTCAAGCTCTCCGTCGTTGAAGAAGACATACTGAAGCAAACAGCCATGCAAGCCGCAGCACCACTACAAATTGTCAGCCATATTCACACCTCTGACAAAAAAGACATACCCAAGCCAAAAAGGTTCTTTCTTCTTATCAGAGCCCATTTCAACAATATTCTACTATGATCTACTCCTCTCAACTCCCTTCCATGTCATTGTTTTGTACACTTACACTTACTCTCGGCATCCAAATCTAGCTCCGGCCGCTCGCCCATTCTGAACCCCGTAGAAAAAGCGGGGCCGTCACTCGGTCTCCAACTCTGACTTCCGCCCATAATCGTCATTGTTCACAAAAGCGACGATACATCCTCGGCAGAAAGAAGAAATGTCAAACGAGAAACAAGCAGACATGTCTAAACTATCTACATCGCTGAAAGCGCTCATCAATGCGCCGTTTGCAAAGCCAGGGCCTCGTCCGGCGCCGAAACAAGTGCAGGAGTTGTATGAGGCTATCGCAAATGATGCTGCGATTAGGAACCTCGGTCCAAAGTCGTGGCTAACAGTCTCTGTACGTGTACCACGATTGTCGCTTCAATTGATTGTAATACTGATAATTTAGGCTGCTGCTACCTTTACGCTCAACTCTCCCGATTCATTACCCGTTCTTCATCGCGTCGCGTCCGCAAAAGATCCCAACTCTGCCGTCCAGAATGCCGAGTTCATCCGAGAAGTCGGCCTCAAGTGCATCAGCTTCAACGGCATCCCACGAACGATCAATTCCCTTAACGCCTTCCACGCATCGCTCCCCGAAGAAATAACATCCAAACTCTCCACGAAACCAAGCCGACAACCGACCTCGCAAAACATCGATGAGGCATTGGCGCGTGGTCGCGGACTCTGGGATTCGATCTACAGACCATACGAAGATAAGCTCTTCGAGAAGCTGGCGCTTGCGCATCCTGATTTACCCGTTTATATCCTCAGCAGCCATTACTCTGCTCTTCTGTCCGATCCTCCTGCTTCGCAGCGCGATACGCTTGCGAGTCTTGGACGGGTTCATACCTCCATGATTGCTATTTCTTGTCTACGGGCGCAGACTGGTGTTGGACCGCAGGTGCTGTCGCATGTGTTTGGATTGAGAAAGGCGCTTGAGGATGGGTCGTATAAGAATGATCAGGATGGGGAGAGTGAAGAGGCGGTGCAGTATTTGGCTAGTGATGAGGGTGGGCATTGGATCTTGAATACGGTGGATAAGATTGTTGAGGCCATTGGTGGAAGCAGCTTTGCGCCGGGTAGAGATTCGAAGCTGTGATAGACTATAGATGTATTATTGGATAATAAACAATTGAGTTTATGCGACGAAGATTCGCAACGGTCTGATCTGAATGGCTGTAGGTTTAATGGCGGAGAAGCCCAGCGTTGAGGCGTCCTCCGCCACTCAATTGACTTCTCAACTATATACAAGAAATAGAGTCTCAACCCCATCTAGGTCTGTCCCTGGTAGAGAGCAGGTCCCTTTCCATCAAAGAACGTCTCATCCAACAGCGACAGCAGCACCTTCTGGCCCGCCCACTGCTCCTCAGCATTCGGTCGAATCTGCTCAGGTGGGAGAACAAAGCCATTCTCACCGGTATCGCGCTGCTCAATAGTATACGAGAACTTGGCTCCTCCAACACTATAAACATGATCAGGAGCTGCGCCAGTAGTCACGTATAAAACAGCACCGCTAGGTCCAAAAGTATACGTCGTGTGATCATCTGTGCTCTCGCGAATGGCCTCACTCACCAACGCAGCGGCCTTGGTCCACTTTCCAAGCTCAGGTGCGTACAGATCTTCCTTGTATCCGAAGGGAGAGAGGATATACTGTCCGTAGCTGTGCCAGTCTATGTACAGCGCAATGCCTACAGTGTCACGAAGCTGACGGACGAATTTATCGAGACCCTGGTTCTCTGGGGTGTCGGCGGGCTTTTCACCGCGATACACCTGGGAGCAGGGATCCGTAGAAGCACCGCGCTTGTTGGAGTCCCAGCCGAATTCCCAGTTACGGTTGATATCGCGACCGTAGCAAGATTGATTGGCTGCAGTGGCGGGAGGAGGTTGACGGTTTTTGCGCCAGAGACGATCAGCGGTGGTAGAGTAGACCTAACAATTAGTTCAATTGCAAATGTCAATGTGAGTGCAGAACTTACAAAGCCGTCGGGGTTGACAAAGGGAAAGATGTAAAAGTCGTATTTGTTCAGATAAGTCTTGACATCTTCATCGCCGCTCTTGAAGCCCTTGACGAGCTGAAGGGTGATGTATTCGAGAGTCTAACGGTCAGCCACGAAACTCAATTATGTGACAACAAACTTACAGGGCCGGAGATCCATTCTCGGGCATGAACAGTTCCATGATAAAGCACAGCAGGCTTTCCAGGACCGTCATCACCCCAAAGATGAAGCCCATAAATATTCCTCTTCTGGTACGATTTACCCGACGACACCAGCTTTGAGTTATTAGGGAATTGCGCCTGCAAGTCGCGGAAGTAGTCGATGTGATCCTCATAGTTGTGGAACTCATCAAACCATGAATCATCATCTGCCTGACGCTTCCATTTCTTGCGCGAGACGCTTTCACCCGTGATTGAATTACCGAGGTTCTCGTGCAAAGTGGTGTAGTCAAGCTTCAGGCTCTCAAAGGCGCTGATGTCATTGGGCGCGACGACAATGTCAACGTGCTGGTAGCCATGCTCCCACTCGTCGAAAGTCACAGGAGTGAGCTTCTCTTTGATGGCGGATTTGCCGTGGGTGTTTACCCGAAAGACCTTGTAGCCATCATAAGACTTGATCTCAGTCTTGGGCACAGCGAGTGCGCCCAAGGCGAGGGTGAGGAGAGAAACGATGGAGTACCTCATGATTGATGCGTGTCGATTGAGTTAACTACGTGCAACCTGCACTGCTATATAAGCTACCTCCTCATTCTTGGCGATTGTAACATCGGCAGACTTTTGAGCATTGCAGAAGATGATCAGACAAATTAAACAGGACCTTCCCCATCGGCACTGGCGGTCATGTTCGCTATAACAAGGTATCAATGGCGCAAGAAACGGTTGAAGCGCCCTGCCGATCGTCCCAAATAGACTCGTAACCTTAATCTATTCCCCGCAGCGGAGCCCAACTTTATTCCAAGCCCCCAGGGTTCAATGACGAATCTCCAAAAGTCCCACCCACCACACAAAAGTACATCCACGGATATTCATCATTACCTTGTACAAAAGTTCATTACACAAAAGTTCATTAACTGGTATCACTCCATCTGCTTCAAATCATCCACCACCGAAAAGTCCGCATCCGTCTTGCTCCTAACCTCATCCACCCCAACCCCCGGCGCAAGCTCTGTAAGCGTGAGCGTACCCTGCTCGCGATCTACCTCAAACACACACAGGTCCGTGATGATGGTGCTTACCACACGTGCACCCGTTAGTGGCAACGTGCACTGCTGCTTGATCTTCGACGAGCCGTCCTTGGCGCAGTGCTCGGTGGCGACGACGATCTTGGTGTTGTCCGGGTTGGCGACCAGATCCATTGCGCCGCCCATGCCTTTGAAGACTTTGCCGGGGATCATGTAGTTGGCCAAATCGCCTACTGCACTGACTTGTAGGGCCTGGGGTTGTTAGTGAGGGATGTGAGAGGGGGTTTGGGGGACTTACGCCGAGGATTGAGACGTCGACGTGACCGCCGCGGATCATGCCGAATGACTCGGCGGAGTCAAAGACGGATGCGCCGGGGACGAGGGTTACTGTTTCTTTACCGGCGTTGATGATATCACTAATTTGTTAGCGAAGCTTCACACAGGGACGATTGACTTACGGATCAACTTCATCCTTGGTAGGATAAGCACCCATTCCGAGAATACCGTTCTCAGACTGGATATGCACCGTCGAATCGGCAGGCAGGAAAGAAACAGCCAGCGTAGGAATGCCAACACCCAAGTTAACATAGTAACCAGGCTTCAACTCCTTGGACGCTCGTCTAGCGATACGGTTTCGTCGCTCTTGCGCTTCATTCGTAGCCTTGGGTGGTCCATCCGATCCCTCCTCTCTCAATTTTAGGACTTCAATATTCTTCTCGGCTGTCGATGGGACGATTCGGTCGACAAAGATTCCGGGGAGGTCAACATCGTTGGGATCGATAGCACCAACTTCGACGATGTTTTCGGCTTCGACGATTGTGAGTTTCGCGGCCTTGGCCATGATGGGTCCGAATGCTTTCGTTGCGTATCTGACTTGTTAGCATCAATTGAGAAGTCAATCGAGAAGACATACCGGAATACACAGTTTCCTTCCTTGTCGGCCTTCCAAGCTCGGATGATAGCGACATCGCCTTCAATCGCTGTCTCCATGAGAAACGTTCTACCATTGAACTCGCGTGTTTCTCGCTTTCTTCCCTTTTCCACAACAGCGCCAGACTTGTCCAATCGCACGGGGATCTCTCCATCCTGCAAAAGAGTATCTGACTTGTTAGCTTCGCTTAATCAATTGACGGAAAACGTACGAGCTGCAGTTGGTGTGAAGAATGCAGGAATGCCAGCGCCAGCAGCACGAATGCGCTCCGCTAATGTTCCCTGTGGACATAGCTCAATAGCCAATTCGCCCGTCAGGTACTTCTTCTCCAACACCTTGTTGTTTCCGAGGTATGATAGGATCAGGCGATCGACTTGACCAGCGCTCGTGAGCGTTGCCAAACCGCCTTTGCCTTCAACGCCAGCATTGTTCGACACAGCAGTAAGCGAATTGAGTGAATCGCGACCTCTCCTGTTCAACGCGCCAATCAATGTATCCGCAACACCACAGAGTCCAAAGCCCGAGCTCAAAAGAGTAGAACCGCTCTTGATATCCGCAACCGCAGCATCTGCATCTTTAAAGAGCTTGGATCCTCCCCACACCGCCAGCGCAGGCCTTGTTGTGCTGAATTGGCGCGCTGTGAAGGTACTTCCCCACGTGAGAGGTCTCGCCCGTAGTCTTAGTAGCTTCGACATGATTGCTGTGATGTTTTGTCTGGTGTAGTCATGATTGCGACTTGTGATATGTTTAAAGAAGAGTATCGGGGGTAGTTGTGGCTCCGAGGGTGCGGTTATCGGGGGCAGAAGTAGAACCGGAGAGACGTCATTTTCGGCGGGAGAACTGGCACCGATGAGCTTGAGCGGGTCGGACCCTGAATATGAGACTGAGATCGGGTTTCGGATGTGAGGAAGAATCGATCTGGGCGAACGTGATATTCTCGGTTGGAACGCGGTGTTTGGTGTTGATTTCGCGATTGCTTGAAGTCGCCGGATCATAGTTGATCCCGTACAACTGAGACAATACAGGGTACCCAGGCAAAAGAAAAGCATTCACAGTGAAGTCATCGCAACACCCACTTTGGAGCTCGACAAACCTCCAATTCGGTACCTTGTTCTTAGCTCGATTACATGCAGCATCACGGTTAATTGTGGACCATGAAACTCATCGTGAACGTCAATTGTTGTGTTGAACAAGCAGCAATTTGGGTATTAATCTAGTCTAAAGGTGCGACATCTCAAAGCAATTACAATTATTTGTTAATAGGTTCCCGATGGAAGCGGTTAGACTCCCAACCATCAATCTCATCAACATGAGTCTCACGAACAAGCTTATAACCACCAATCTTGGGAAGAATGACAGCCCAGATGAGCCAGTAGATGGCACCAGCTACCAAGATAGCGATACCGACAACGCAGTGGATGTAGTAAGGCATGCTCTTGTACTGATTCTGGCTGGGATCGTCGGGAGCGATAAATGGTGCGATGACCAGATACATGTTGCTGAGAAGGAAGAAGACGGTGACGGGGAGGGTCGCCTTGATCGGAGGGTTCCAGTTGTACTTTGCGCCGTGGAGGTAGAGATGGACGAGACCACCAGCGACAAATGTGTTGACGATCGCAAGAGGATAAGAGATGAGGCTGATTGGTTAGCGACGTGATAGAAAGAGTTGAGGTAAATACATACTTGAGAATAAAGTTGTAGGCATCTCCAGGAGGAGGAGCAAGGATGACAATAACGCAAATGACCCAGTGCTCAAAGAGACCAGCGAGAGGAGCGTTGAAGGGCCGGTTGCTAGCCCAGAGACGGGAGAAGGGCAGAATACCCTCACGACCGAGTTCCTGGACGAGACGACCCTGAGAGAAGATGACAGCGAGGACGTTTCCGAAGGCAGACAGAGCGACAAAGACGGACATGGCGCGCTCAGCAGCAGGACCCATGACATTGCGGAAGAGCGAAGCAGCGACGAGACGCTCAGAGGCAATGATCTCAGCCTTGGAGACGGCAGCGAAGTAGGCAATGTTGACGAGGATGTAGATGATCGAGACAGAGATGATGGCAGTAGGAGCAGCGATCTTGAGGGTTCGCACAGGGTTGCGTGTCTCGCTGAGAGCGTAGTTGGCGTTGCTGTAACCGACGAAACTCCAGATCACATTGTACAGAGCAGTGACGACACCATAAGCGCTGCCGGTAGTACCCTCAAAGGCGTTGCTGAAGTTGTTGGGCTTCTCATCAGTCTTGAGATGACCACCAAGCGCGACGAAACCGCAGATGATCATGATGAAGACGATGATGAGCTTGATGATGCCCAGAGCATTCTGAAGACGAAGACCCCATTTAAGAGCAGTTCCGTGGATGATGAACGCAGTCGTGATACAAGCCAGACCAATACCACGCTGATTCCAACGGTCGACCTCCTTGTTGGCTGCATGCAGGATATACTCTCCAAACACAACAGAGTTGCCAGAAGCCCAGCCCATGAGAATGATGTATGAAGCGTAGATACCAGTGACGAGGAACTTTGGCTTGCGGTAGATGAACTCGAGATAGTTCTTCTCGCCGCCGTTCTTGGGGATGCCGGTTCCCCATTCGAGGTAGACGGCTGTACCGGCGGCGGCGATGATGGAGCCTACGACCCAGATTATGAGGGCGAGACCTGGACTGCCGAGGAGAGCGAGGATAGAGCCTGGTGTGGCGAAGATACCGGTTCCAATGACACGGTTGAAGATGAGCATAGAGGCGCTCAGAACACCGATCTGGCGCTTGTTTTCGGCGGCGACATGAAGACGGCCTACAAGTTAGCAACACCCTCACGAACCGTTGTCATGGTGGACATACCCTCTTCACTGTCTGAACCAACATAGTTAGTCTTGTTGGCCTTGGGCTCAAGACCCTTGAGATCGTCGTTACTCATGATCAACACAATTCTTCAAAAAACAAAGACCCAATCTGATGAACCATCTCCAACAACGCGGCTCCCCATCCCCTTTAATAC